AATAGTGCACAAAGGTTCACCAACCTATGCTATAAATACATCATATAATCTCATCATATAGAAATCATGTCACATTAATAGTTAATATTCCAACTTTTAATGCTTTAAAAGCTCACCACAGCAAATAAATCCTTTAACAGGAGTTTATATAGGTGTCCGGATTTTCTCCCGTTTTTAAAGCATTCAGTAAAACCAGTAGGTTTTTAAAGCTTTACAGCGAATCAGAGCTGTAAACAAAAGCTAAGCAATGATCTGAAGATGCTCTGTAAAGATCCTGTGAAGCCTTTTTATACAGGAGTCATCTGGCCTGCCTGGTGCCTTTTCTCAGTTTTTGGGAATGATAGCAGGTTCTATTTTAGATTTTTGGTGGTGAGATTACATTTGATGTCAGTTTGCACCATGAATATGTGCTTGTGAATTTCCAGTCAACCACAAGAAGACAGCAAACATGCTCGTGTCTTACAGCGTGTGTCGACACAAAAGGGCTCATTTGTGAGCAAATTCCTCCTCAGTGTGGCTCTTAGTCTGAAACTGTTTACTCTGGAGAATCCATCCATCACGTGTCTGCTGTCTCAGATTGATGATCCATTCATGCCATCTGTTGCGCCGCGTGGTGCTCCCATTTTTCACCTACAAACAGGGACGATGTTGACAGCTTGAATTAGCCAGCAAACATATATATCGCTTTAAATCGTCATGCCTGGGAAACACCAGTGGGTCTAGCTGGTAATGATAAAGACGGGGTCACCTGCTGGCAACAGATGTCTTTCAGCCCAGAGTGAAAGGTTCAGCTCTATTAATGCTTGTGATCTCATGCCAGCAGTGCCACACACCACTGAGACCCTCTTCTTCTCCATCCATCACACATTAGATGCCTCTAAACTCCAATTAGCCCTGTTAGAGAAGGGAAGGACTGCCTTCATCGTTACCAGGTTTGAAACAACAGCTCATCGTGCTATTCATTGTGATCATTTTTCACAGTTTCCTCATGTTTTCTTGAAGAGCACGTTAATTCAGTTTGGTGGATTTCCACTTTGTGTGCTTCCAGTCGTGAAGCAGGCCTCTAGATCAAAACGCCGTTCAGCACGGGCCTCTTCGAAAAGCAACATCTCTCCCACACCAAGCAACAATGGAATCAAGTGAACAAAGTGCATCTGACTGTGAACACAGATGCACCAGCTTCAGTTTCTCTTCCTGAGAAGATCGACTGCTGCAGGCTTCTTCGGAGGTGAGCGTCGTTAATGACCGGATCCAGATGGCCCCAGCTCCAGGACGTCAGCAAAGAAGAATCTGGACAGTTTGATATTTGATTAATGATGTGTCAAGATAATTTATCCTTTAGCAGTTATTAATATATAATTTTATTTTGACTTATTTTTTTAACACTATGTGTTTTTTAGCAGAAGGGAAATTCAATTAGCCACCTGAGCGTCCTATTATAATTACACTTGGCAGAGGCAAACATGGGCTTTGGATGATAATAATATACAGGAAGCATGTGTTTATGTATGCTATGTGTGCTTGGGCCGTGCACATAGCTTCCACTTGAGACTCAAGGCCAAGGGGAGTCGTAGCATGGTCATAATTATGTCATTAAAAAGAGTGACATCTGGAACTTGGGGGCCATCGAGCAACACAGAGTACCAACCTCCTTTCCTCCTTTGCCCCCCTGTGACAGTAACAATCCACCCTCATCCCCCAACAATCTGCCCATCGCTCATGCGGGAGCAAGGCGCATGAGGATGTGGCATGCCTGCAGTGGGAGGAAGGGGGAACAGGTGGCGGCCATCAGGAAATGGATGGGGAATGCTTTGAATGGGAAACTTGCCTCCATTCCTCACGGAGTACCTGGGTGTCTGCCCTTCACGAGTGGTCCAAGAGGCGGACAGGAGAGATGAAATGAGAACAGGTGGTGGTTTGTCGTTTAGCGAGGAATGGAGTTCCCCCGTAGATCTGGTGAAGCGCAGCCAACAGTATGGAGAACGCCATTGCAGCAGGATCCCCACCCTACTGGTCTTGACGGGTGTCACGCATGTATCCGAAATACTCAACACGTCATCCTCTACAATTCTGGCTAAAGTGATTCTGGCAGCTCTAAATGAAAGATTTACTGCAGACAAAAAAAGTGCCTGAAGAAAGTAAACAATGTGCATTTAATGACAAACCTGACTCCAATCTGTTTTTGGTCAAGGGCCAGGCTGCCGTCATTTTGCTCCGTGATTGAACTGCAGTTGCACTCCCCACTCTCTGAACTGCCACCATCCCACAAGTGCTCCCTCAAATGAGCTGTTGCATGACAATTAACAGGTCCCCCACTTCTGAGTGAGCATTCCTCAGTGTGCACCCCCCCGCACACCCCCATCCTGCTAATATTCCCCCCACATCTTTTTCTCTCCCAGCCCTGATGTGCTGGCTACACAAGCTCAAGGCTCTTTGAACCTCTGGTGTAACGAAGAACTCGCTCTCTCAGTCTGCCACACCTCTGGTACATGGCACCTGTCTGCCGCACAGTTTATCACGTTGACGTGCTTCGTGACTTTAAAACTGATTGCAGCAGTAACAAAGGCTTCCTGATTCTCAAACATGCTGCCACCCGTTCTTTATTCGATCACACGTACTGGACAACCTTGCACGAGTTGTAATTTCTCTTCCTAAATATTATATTTTCTCCATTTAAAATGGGTATCCATCATTATTACCTTACGAGACAGTGAGGCTCATGGATTTCATCTCCCTCGTCACAGCTCCGAGGCAGCTGCATTCCAGCTAATCACTATGCTAATTGTGCTGCTTTACATCATCTGCTGATTTTCATCAAAAGAAAAATAAATTCTTAAGAACCTTTGCAACTTTTCAGTGAGCCTAAAACACTATTTCACATTACCCATTAGAACTTTCTGGGTTGATTTTGTGCTGACCTGAACTGATAATGTATGTCAACATTTATGTATGTATGCATACACAATATTTAAAAATATAGCTTTATTCTATTATCCTTATTTATTCTCATTTACACTGACGATTTTGACGATTCCTAACTCTAAACCTTGATTACATTATAGTCTAGTTACTGCCTGCACTCTTCAGCTAGTGGGCTGTCCCCCCGTTCTGCATGTAAGTGTCCTTGAACCCTAAACTGCCTTTGATGGCTGTGCTGACTATGTGCTGTATGAATGTATGTGGATGAGAGAATGGCAAAAACTGTACTGTAAAG